AATTCCGTTCAAGAGCATCTTCGATGACGTGGGATTGTTTTTCAAAAACACGACTATACACGCATCGTTCTTTTTCTCTCTTTCGTTTATTCGTCAATTCTCACTTCTCTCGGCCGCGACATTTGCGTAAGCATCTTAACAAATTTCTTATGCGCTTAGAGAACAGTAAATAAATTAGGTCACTTCCGCCAATGCATCGCCAGAAAACTGTTCATAACAGGTTCCGCGGCTGAATCAGCAGACGCCATTCATCGTTCTTATCCGACACGTCGAAAAACACTTGAATCTTCCCGGGCTAAAGTCTCGCCATTCTTTGCAAAGAGATGCATAAAACAAATGCGCTGTATTATCTCTTCATTTTTTCTCAAACAAAATTGTACGATCGCTGCGCTGTTCATCATCCGAGAACGTGGATGCGAGAAGCTGCATATTTTTTACAGCGACATAATGCGCAAAGACGTGCTGTAAGTTACGCTGTTGAGTAATCAAGATTACCCAAAATAAAGTTACACTTTTCAGTGAAACAAAGGAAATCTGTACAGAAACATCTGTAGCAAAAGCGACAACTTATTGACAATGAATAAGTGCAGTACATAAGACGTGACGTTTTCCTTCTCTCCTTTAATCTTTTCATTCAAATTTATTAGACGACTCGGGTATATTCGTTAAAAATCCTGGATAAGAAAAGCCATTCATACGTAGAAGTAAGAACGTTTTTACGACTTAGGGCTATTTTAAAATATAGGCTCGCGTTATAGTCGCTCGACTTAAGTCAGTCTAACGTGTTTTACTTTTTCTGCCGTACGTTACGTCCGATGCACTGATATAGCGCATTTATGCAGCAACCGAAAATACGTCGATACAACAGCATCGACAAACATCGCACGCAATCGGATAAAACATGAACGAACATTTGCGAATGGCAGGCCTTTTCCCTCGGATGCGATTTGTAGGAATCCTCAAATAAAAATCAACGACGATGTTATTAAAGCAGTCTCTCTCTTTTCTCTCTCTCTCTCTCTCTCTCTCTCTCTCTCTCTTGCTTTCTTTTTTCTCTCTTGCGTGCAATTTCCTCGCGTACGCATTGCATGATTATGCATCGATGCTTGGCGCGCGCGTGCGTTCCATCTTAACAAGGAACCAAGGACAATATTTATCTGTCGCCACTCGGCAATAAAACTTGCCACGCAAAGTGCGACTCGGCAAGAGAGAAATATTGCTAATATCATTCTTCGTGTTCACTCAGGGAATACACGTTCGCCACGTCAAACCCGGCACAAAGCGTACACCCGTTACAGCCCAATCAGACGTCGTCGTTGTCACCATTGTCGAATTTTTATAGCCTGCCCTTCGTATGCCCAGCACCGCAAGTGTACTGAATACTAACAAGATTTCATCGGTTTCCTCCTAGTTTAATCCGCGCGCGCGTTTCTTTTTGGAGAAACGGCTACTATATAAATATTCATGAATAATTCCACCGCGTTATATATCTCGGAAAACTGGAACGCCAAACCTGTGTCTCTCCGATTGCCGTTTGCATTTGTAATATATACATAGCTATTTAGTAACTGCACCTTTTGTAATTGTAACGAAAAACAATGCGGTATTCTTTCAAACTTCTCTTTTTAGCACGTATACGAAAAAAATACTTCCATTATTCCATTATTTGTGAATACGTATTCATCATCTTCCGTTTCTCCAAAACGAAACGCGTATCATACGCAAAAACACCCATTCAAAATATCCACCCATTGTATACTCCCCAATCATACCTCGTCATCGTCGTCGTGTTTTTCCATCGCGCGCTCCGAAATCGTGAAAACAAAACGCAGTTTCTTCTATACACATATAGACAACGGAGATAATAATCTAAATGGATCGCCTTAGATTCTAGACTTATCTAACGATAGGTGGTTTGCTGAGTTTGTGTGCATGTGTGTACGTGTGTATCTATGTGTACAGTGAGATGACGGCATGTAATGACGCTGGGTGGCTCGTAGTACGTGTCTTGTCAGTCTAGCTGACGTATAATGTCGCAGGAAAACGGGTACAGGTGGTATAGTCTTCGTATATCGCATACAAAACGACGTAGGATTCACGGGATTCGTCGCGCGACCTCGGTCCTCTCGACCGAGGCTCTCTCGATCATCGAGCGCAGATTTACAGAAGAACGAGTCGACCTATCACGACGCGACTCGCAACAGACACGGCATACCTGTGTGTGTGACCAGCCGACTCGCTTCTACGTTTACTCGCTTCTACACTCTCTGTGTAAATCTGCGCGATGGCCTTTCGCTAATGTAGATATATAGTATATCTCGGGATATAGTATATCTCTAGAACGCCTGAATCTCACCGCGTAATTCCCTGCCGCGCCTTCCACCCTCGCTCGATCTCGAACGCTTCAACCCATCACATTTCGATCGCCGCGGTAATCGACCCGTGGCGATAACCAATTGATCATAACATTATTGGAAAAAATTGACGAAAGTTATCTAACAAATTAACAATGAGATTCTTCACCGTAGTTCAATTGTAGTAAAAATCTTTATCGATGTGTACTAGAAATCTGAAGAAACAAATTCTAATTTATTTAAACAGTATGTTGAGAGTACCAATGACATTTCGTCATAGAAATAAAAAAAAACTCTAAAATGAAATACTCGCAAGGTTTCAATTTGAAACGAGATTACGTTAACTATAATTCAATTCGTAGAGGTAGATCTGACAATGAAGAAAGAGAGAGTGTAAATAATGCAAACTTTGGAGCTACCGATCGTCAATTCTGGACATCGTATAACGGAACGCATGGCAATATCTTGTCATCCGATTCCGGCAGGTCAAGGCAAAATGCCGGCAACGATAGTTCCACTTGATTGTATTGATATTGTACAAATCAATAACGCGTTTATCTGGTCCGTTTGCCGTTATTTAGCAGAGGCAACGGTAAACGACGTACATGAGGGGAGATAGGAGGAAAAGCGAAACAATGTTACGAACTCGGTGAGCTAGCCGCCCGATTATCGGTGCTCGATTCCGAGGCTGAACCGTTGCACCGAGTTATCCGATAAAACGGAGCGATAGTGCACGATTAAACGCAGTTACCAGTACAGACGGTAGCTCCTTTCACGCGAGGCGGGCCTCTTTCGCGGGAAGAAGATGATGATGATGATGATTCTCTCTCCCGCCGGGGGAACAGTTCGACCTACTATCACGCGCGATCGGGCACGAAGGGAGAAGCGAGGTAGAAGGCGCAGACGTCGATTACGATCGGCGGCGGCGGTGGCGGCGGCCAGCAACGGACCGGACCGTTCATCGTTCTTCCGATTAATTGCTACGTTACGTTTTAAACGGTCACGTCGCCGCTACTCGTCTTGAATTGGCGGTGGTGGTAGTGGTGGTGATGGTGGATGGTGATCGTGGCGGCGGCGGCAACGACTACGGCGAGAAAAAGCCGGTGTATATCGCAATCACGCGAGAGTGTTGGTGCGTGGTCGGACGAGGCATGCGTTCACGCGCGAGTGTACATCTTAACCCTCGTGATTAACCCCTTGCGGCTAGCACGGCGCGCGGTCGAAACTACTTTTCCCGGACGCGCTTTATAAGCACTGCACGCGACGTCTCGCGTTTTCGTCATGAATGGCGCGATGCGTAACTGAGAATGTCTAGCGTTTCACGGTTAAAATTAGTTTACTTTGCATTAAGAACAACTTCGATTGACGATTTAGCATTTTTAAACTGTTGCTCAACAGTAAAACGGCGAAAGGATTCTCTATATAAATTCTTTGGAGTGAATCTGACTTCAAGAGTAAAATCTTACTCCAAAGAATTTAGAAAAGAGAATGTCGAAGTACGGATGGATCGTTATTTTGTAAATCGATGGACATCGAGGAAAAACAGCCGCTGTCTAATTACGCGTGAAGCGATGGTTTAATATTCTACGCATCGATCTCGAGTATACGTCGGAGCCAAGACACAATGGAGTATAAGAATTGGGCGTGGAATCGCGGAATGAGATAGAATAAATTCATGATAAGATAATCATTGTGTAGGGGCAATCGATCGGAAAACAGATATAGTCGAAGCAGAAGAGAGATGAGTGGTCCCGCGTCTACAAAAGGGCACAGTAAAGGCATTCCAATATTCCGATTGGTAATACATAAAATATCAGGAACGTTATATATTTTATTCCTCGTCCCTTCCGCCTTATTCCTACGTTCATTGTTTCTTGGCTCGCAGACTTCTTTTACATATAATCTCTCGCCGTAGGTCGTACCACGAATATCGTTGAAGTAATAAAAATAAGGAGGAAATTGTTAATTTTTACACATAGAGTCGTGCGTAATCGACGATTAAAACAATAAGAATCATCTACATATTTTCTATCGATAGGTATTTATAAATCAACAGAATTAATCGACTAGTGCTCTCCAATTCGTCGGTGCAAATTGGAACATTGGATGGATCGACTGCACGATCTACGAATTGATTTTGAAAACTACGGAGCGTGTTATTATCTTCTGGTGATTTTTCTCAATATCATTTTAGTTCAATTTTAACGTTCCGTCACCTCCGGGTCTCCGAGCGAATACTCTTGCGCATGCCAGAGAAAAAACACTTATGAAAATACGAGAAACTATCGATTATTTAACCGATCATCGTGTCACAACCTACTACAAGGAAAATTCATGTGCTAAAGAGACCCGACAGACACGGTCACGTGCATTAGCACATCTCAGAACGCTCGCGTGTACACAAGTACACACACGCACACACACGCACGCAAGTGCACTCTCTTCCGATCCCGCAAGACTAACACGCTCACGACAAGGCTGATCGACACCGTTTCTCGGTTGCTGAAGTCATTTCACTTCGTTGGACGTGGAACATCAGATGGAGTGTCGATGCGACATCGGTACCGAGCGACAGTGCGTCGCGTGCGGCATTGCGTGCACGCGCGTCACGTCACGTCACGTATACTACGAACACCGTTAGCGGTGAGAAGCTCCTCCTCGGTGTCGCCTTTGACGCCGTCTTGTCGAGGCTTAGCGGCACCGTTGTTCGCACGAGGACGCTTGGTTTTGACCCCCTTGAGATCCCGGACCACACGTAAAAGCGACCACCCTGAGACTAAGACGAACGTCAATCGAATCGTCCGCGCGCACAACGGGCGACGAGGTTAACATCGTCCGTATTTCTTCCTCGTGTCACTTCGTTTCAAAATGGGGCCAAATACCTCGTCGTCAACACCCACGCACTCTCCTCTTCCTTTTCTCCACGCTATTTCTGCTGCCGTTGGCATTTACCGTTTCGCTCTCACTTCGCACTCCACCGGGCGAGTCCGCGCGACTGTAAGCGCTCGTAGCGCTCGGGAACATCTTCGATTAGATAACGTCGACAACCCATCACTCCTCCGCCTGCAGCAATGTGCGGAAATCCTGTTGCAACTTCGATTCATGGTAACTCCATATATCGCTAAAGTCGTCATCTCCGTTGTCGTCGTCGTCGACCTCCCCGGGGAAACTCGACAACGACTTGTCTTCCTCGGCGAGACGTTCGGCGGTCGATGGCGACGAGTAAAATTTGATCTCCAGATCCCGATGACCGTTGGGCGACGTGATAATTTCCGTAGATACTTCCAGACCCTTCGGAGACGCGATAAACCCACCACCGGCATTCGGACCCACAGCATTCGCATTCGCTGGCGAGCTTGCTGGCGCGCTGCCGATACTATCGCCACGCCAAAGAGCTCGTTTGTGTTTTCCACTTTCAGACTGGCCCCCTCGATCGCCGATGACACCAACGTCCTTTGTCGGCGCGGTGATCTCCTCACCGTAACTGAAGTAACTCGTCGGGTCGCTCCAACTACGCCTCAACACTACACCACCGGGCCCAGCGACGGGCCCCATGTCTCTATTGTCATCGTGCAGTCGAGAGTGCTCGTCGAACAATCTGTCGAGCGCGCGTTCTTGAAGATTCGTACACGGTGACGTCAAAAACAGTGGTATTTGACCAAAATGACTATTGCGACAATACTCGACGCCGGACGACGACGGCTGTGGCGGCGACAACGTCGTTGTCAAGAACGGCGAGTACCCGTTCCGATCGACGTCCCAAATCAGACCTGCCGGGTCGCAATATCGACATTGACACGGACCCAAACCGTCCCCTCTGGCAGCAGTCTCACAGGATTCTCCCGCGTATTCATGAACGTAACGTCGCGGCAGATTGCCGCTATCGTTGGCGTGATGATGCCGGTAGCCCTTGGGCGGCGCCGTGGCACGCATCGGCGCCGCGATCACGTTACGGTTGTCATCTAGCACTTTCACTTGCACATGATGCCGGTGATGCGCGTACCGTTGCTGCCTAATGTCCGCCATCTCTGTCTGCATCGACGGCGCTCTACAGCCGCCGTAGATATTCTCGCGATGGCTAACCGGTGGCCTTCGATAGTTCCTGAGATGCGGCGTGGCTGCCTCATAGATTCTTGGTTCGTAGCAAGTCGGTGCGTACGATTTTACACCGATAACGTTGGATTGTTCCCCGACTACGGCACCGCAACCAGCAAGCTGCTGCCGCTGCACCTGCGGCTCCTCCGGTTTAGCCGCATCGACGCCACTGGCGACGACGTTGTTCGGCGGTTTGCGATCCTTCTTTCTGCGCTTGCGAGGCTTAATGATGCGCGGCAGACTATTCTCCGAATTGTTCGAGCCGGAGCTCTCGTCGCTCGCGATACTCAGCGAGTCGATGTTCGCGATACTCGAGGAACCGGTGTTTTCTTTTGTCGCGGCAGAAGAACAGTCGGCATTCGTCGCCGTTGTCTTGGAATTCGGAGATACCGTCGTCGGTGACTTCTTGGCGGTAGCCTCCATTGGCTTTTGAGGGGCGATTCGTGACGCCGGACACCTCGTCGCGCCGTTCACGTTGCTCGTCATGGACGGGTTCACGGTATTATGAACGTAATTGCTGACGATGTTACCGCAGGGTGGCGTATTAGTGATACCATTAGGATTGCCACTGTTATTGTTGTTATTGCTGTGCACCTTGCCACGATTGTAAAATCGTCCGGCCAATATCAGGGGTGCGCCCTGCGTATGAATCGCCAATCTTGACAAAGGACTTTTATGTAGATGACCGCCCGGTGGCACTTGCTGCTGATCGGTACACGTCTGTTGCTGTTGTTGACCGAGCGACGGTGATGAACGCTGATTACACCTGCGCGGACTTGACGTCATTGATATCAGCGGCGCACCCGTCCAACCGCCCGGACCGCCGTATTGCACCTGACATTGCTGCTGATCGGCCAGCCCGGGGTAACTCTGTCCTCCATTGTAGCAACCGCGCGCTTTACCGCCGCGTATCGTCACTGATTGTTCCTGCTTTCGGCAAACGGGCACGGGCTTGCCGTGCAATCCGGCGCGCAGGTTGGACGAAATTAGGCAGCTGCCGATGTAACGCTCCACTTCCAAGGCGCCCTGAGAGGCCGGGCTCATCTTACAATGTCCGCGGACCGTACCACCAATGCTGCTATCGGGTGCCCACGATCGCAATACTCTTTAATAATACGGAATAAATATGACACCTGCACTTTAGCACTATCAACTCCGTTTAGATTCTCTTCTTACTTGTCGTGACACATTACTCCATTAATTCTGATCCTTAGGTAGATAAGGATAATCACAGTCTAGCCCATATTCATAATGAGCTTTGACGACGATGGTTGGAACGCTCAAGTTCGCCACAAGACCGCAACGTATTCCGCGGATCGAAAGTAGGCCGAGAAGAGAGGCGGTCGCGGTGATATTGAAGGGAGTATAAACTTGTGACCCTTCACCGAGAACGACCGAACGAGACCGCGGCCGGAACGACACTGAAGCTGGTGGTGCTGGCCGGAGCAACGTTACACCGTTCTCGATCCTCTGCGACGTGGAGGTCTCCCTACCCGTTCTCGTTGCTACCACCACCACGAGCATCAGACTCCCTCCCTTGCCGTCAATGGCACTTCCACCCCACCATTTCCCACTCCTTACCTCCTTTCGATATGACGCCGCGCACACCGAGTATATACAACGCGCGGCACGGTGTCGTATCCTTCCGGCAAACGACGACGCTGTCACAATTCGGCGAGAGGATCTTAGGAGAAAGCTAGGAAAGAGGGAGAGAGGGAGGCAGAACGAGAACGAGACAAGTCGGAGAGCATCGTCGTCTACCCGTCGCAACGCTGACTGACAGAGACGAATTTACCTGCCTGCCTGCCTGCCTGCCTGCCCGACGCTTATCCGGGTTTCTTATACCCTGACTTAGCATAAATTTCATAAACAAATCCTGGACCTGCTTTTTCCATCTCTCTTTTTCTCTTCTCTCTTTCTCTCTTTCTTCCCCCCTTTTCTCTTGAGTTTGCTGCAGAGTAAAATATGAGTGAATTTAAAACGGTAGATTATAAAAAGAGGAAAAAGAATTTTATGGCTTTCTAATCTTATTTTCGAGCGGATAAAGTCCAATTAAATTCCCATGGAACGTAAAAAGAAAAAAAAAACTTTGATAGATTTTCTCTATAAATTAAAAAAAATTGCCGGCTTTTTATCGTGGGACTATTGGTTAGAAAATGTAAATTTAGAGAGACGCAAGGAAAATGATGTAATCTCGTAGAAATATCAAAAGAGAAACGATTACTCTGAGTGTGTTTCAACATTCCATAGACCTGCAGGCAATTACATAAATTCTTCAATATCAAAGCTATTTTTACGTGATACAATAATCTACATAGGATAATGCTGATAAAGTATCACGCGTTCTACCGATATCACCTTCACTTATACAATGAACTATAAGAGAAAAATGGAGTAACGATCCTGTCGATGATTCATCGAGCGATAAGTCGCTCGTTTAAAATGCACTCTGCTTAAAATATCCGTGGTAATAACTCTTCGCATGCAAAACATCGCCTATCGAAGGACGTTTTTTATTTTACGTCAGTTTTAAATAGTTCACGTCGAACAGGTCGGACTAATAGCATGACGTAACTTCAGTTCTCAGGAAAATTACGCAACTCATGTTTTGTCGCGCAATAGCGTTAAATAACTTAACAACATATCATTATATATAATTTTTTTTTAAATTTAAATAATTATCTGTGACTAAAAATAGTGACTCATCCAAGTCAAAAAATGTGCAAATAAATTGTTTGCTTTGAATAAGATTTAAGTCAAATATTCAAACACATTTTAAGTAAAGTGAAGTAAATTATTTATATATCATAGAAGCATTCGGAATTTGACATATGTCACTTTCGAAACAATCGGTTATCAGTATCCTGAAAATCTCGTAACTTAGGTCGCTTCCAACCAGAGGAACGAAATCGACTTTACGTTCTCGGTGTCAGAGCGAACTAACCGACTATTGTCAGCAGCGAGGCAGTCGAGAGCGGAGAGAGTGCGGAAGAGAAGCACACTATAAAGAGAGGTAGGTAGGACTCCAATATCTTACACCAAGGCATTCTCACATCTGGGTCACCGGCTCGAAAAGTGGGTCACAAGTCATCAATCGCTCACAGCACGCTACTCAGGTCGGATCTCTTTCCACCCACTTTCTCTCATCCGAGACGAAACGTCTGGTGTGGTAAAGGGTGATTCAATTCTTTCTCGAAGCTCTTCCATCGTTAGACGCACCTGGAAAGTTTGGCAGCGTGCTTCTCCGTTATTATACGCATCAAAAGCGCCTCCCTATTGAAGCACGCGTCAAGAGGAAGTTTTAGGCTCGCTTGCCTGTTATTACTACACTTGCGGAGAAAGAAGTTAGGAACTGGCTCTCTATTATTAGATACATCAAGAACGAATGTGTTTGGAACGATCGCTCTATTATTACGTACGAGTCAAAGAAAAGTCTGAAAGCACCTCTTTTCCTCCCTCTCACACAAATAGCACGTTTATTACACACATTCGAAAAAAGTTCGCTGCCTAGTGCTTTATTATTACACTTCTCATTCAAGCGAGCGCAAATGAAGTATATTGCGTGCGAAATTCCTAAAATTCCACCTTTAACACGAATGCAGGCATTTTTCTGTTAACTCTGAAGTAGATTAAATCTTTTTCCTCCGCTGAAATATCTTCTCTAGAAATATATTAAAACTCTGCCTAATATAGAATATATATATATATATTATATATTTTTTTCACTTTATTAAACATTATATTCAATAAATAAAACAAACAAAAAACTTTTCATTAGCTTTTACGAATATGAAAAATGTAATCATAAGCATTTTTCTAAATTTTTTATTCCTGATATCAAACAGACTTATAATCAGGGCTCGGCAAAATAACTCATACGACTTATTTAAAATATAAAATCATTGAAGTTGATAAAATAACTGATATGACTTATTTGAAAAATATGTAAAATATAAAATAGTTTCCAAAAACTTATTTAAAATATCAAATAAGAAATAGATCACAAGAAATTATTTAAAATATGAAATAAGACATAGGGCTCGCATTTATTTATTTAAAATATAGAATAACGTCAAATATAAAAATAACTTGTTTTTTTTATTTTAAATAAGCTTTTGGAGCCTATTTCTTATTTTAAATAAAAAATAGATTTCGAACACTTACTTAAAATATAAAATAAGAAATATGTATTTTAAATAAACATTTCAAATAGTAAATATAAAGTATTTTAATGATTTATTTGATATATGTATATAATATACATTTGTATACAATTTATATTGTATTTTAGTTCATTTTTTATATAATAGCTATAATTAATACTTAATAATAATAATAATAATATTAATGCTGCTATTATACTCAGTTAACGGATCGATAATTGATATAATTTATTTAAAATAAGAAATATAAAACAGATTTCAGAAAATTATTTAAAATATAAAATCGATTAAAAAAATGATACAACTTATTTTAAATGAAAGATATAAAATAGGTTCCAAAAACTTATTTAAAATGTGTTAAATAAGAAATAGGTCAGAAGAAGTTATATAAAATAATGAATACCAAATAACTTTTTAATTTTTCTTTATTTAAAATATATATTTTAAATAAATGTATTTAAAATAAAACCGAGCCCTGCTTATACTACAAAAAATAATGTTCAAAAAGTCTATTCGTTTTTTTTCGTATTGGCTCAATGATAAGTGCACCTGTATAAACGAAATGGAGTCTAAAATGGCTCTCCTAGCATGGTTTATTTTTAGATTAGGGTCACGGCGTTTTCTGATGTAGAATAAATTGTGTTTCTTGATCAGAGATAAGAGGCTTGCGATGCAATGGCGATGCGCGAGCTATCGCGCGTCCCGATCGAGGATGTGCTATTAACGATTGTTACAAACTGATTTTGATGTCCCGTCGCGCGATCGGTCGCTCGATAAAGTGGCCATCCGCGATTAGCACCCGCCATAGATTGGCATTATTGTGAAATGTGTCGAACCATTAAACCGCAACGCGACATTGTTATCACGCCAGAAACAAACAGTCGTTATAATTGTTGCCTCATTTTTATTTGATCGGCTGATAACAGCCAGACGTAGATATACAGCGTAATAAATTTATGGTGTGTTCCTAAAAAAAACATGCAGATGAAAGCAAACCCTTGATGAATGTATCGTATATCATTATTGCTGCCAGTTCTACGATAAACAGACAAATTCAAACCTGTTTAAAAATTATTCGTAAAATATTCAGAAAATATGCATATTTTAGTAATTAAGTATAATAACACTTTTCGTTACTCAACAAATGTAGATTTTTTTCTGGGGCAGCAGAATACATGATATAAATAAAGAATGAAGTCTCTGTTAATCAAAATAAATTAAAACAAAATTCTAGATATAAAAAATTTTTTTAAATTAAAGCTAAAAACATGATGATCTGATTCTCGGTTAAATTAGAAAAGCTCCGACCGAAATTGAGCACCGTGACTCTCCATCACAGATGTTCAGGATGAAGGAGAGACGCAGAGGCGCTTTTCTTGTCGAAGGTAAACGAAGCGCGTCGGGAAATAATGAAAAATAGACGAAGCGCGACGTGAAAGTGCGCTACAAGCGTACTTCAGAAAATCTTGGTCGATAAGTACGCTTGAATGAGCGATTCCTGAGTGAAAGCGACTACAACAATGATTTATACGCGCGATAAAAATCGGCAAGAAAAAAGATAGAGATATAAGATAAACTGAAATAATAAAAATAAGAACTGCTTTAGCGAACGAATTTCGATAAACAAGAGAAAAATTGTTCTATTAAAAGAACAAAATCTATCTCATTCATATAAGATGTCTTACCAATTCATCGATGTTATTAAATAGTGAATATGATGAGATCAATGCATACATAATGTACATAACAAGTGAATAAATTATAAAATATTTTAAAGCACAACCTCAAATTCATTAAACGTTGAATACCTCTTGAGGCATCGTCTAACAAGGAAACTCCACTTTAAGGTGGTTATATCCAACTATGCGAGTCAACAATAGA